CACGTCACGTGAACTTGCATTGACTTGGGCTGAAACCAGAACTACAAATGTAAGCCTAATCCACCTGTGAGATCAAATCTTGTGTCTTCTCAAAAATTACAAGGAAGCAGCAGCATCATTCTTGCTCCAGCCGTAAAGGAATTTTCAACATCATTCTTGCTTTAGCTGTACCTTCAAGCCATCGAGGATAATTTGAAAGCTCATATAAAGGAGCTTGCGAAGGAAAAAACTGAAGCAGTTGAGCAAGTTATTGAAGCTCGTGCAGAGCAAAGCAAGATACAGGCAACCTTGGAGATGGCTAAAGTTTCAACGAACAAAGAGCTAAAACATCTGGATATGAAAGCTGATAAGAAAGCCATGAAAGAATTTGAGAGCTCCGAGGAGTTAAAAGGCTTAATGGAGAAAGCTGTGAAGGACTTCAAGAAAACAAAGGAGTTCAAAGACATGGTGCGATACAGCAGAGTCCAATATTACACATTGGTTTTGATGAAGCTATACTGCTAAGGCCAAGCATGTCTACCCACACTTAAACTTAGGCATGATTGAGATTGTAGATGACAATGAAGATACCCCTTTTCAAGCTGAGCCAGCTAGAGGAGCAGAGGACGATGGTGGCATTGGATTTGCTGGTGTTGGAGAGAGATCCTCCTACTCTTGAGTATTGACACTGTTGCTACCATGGTTCGCAATATCGGTCAATACCGATACGTATTGGTCGAGTTGTAACCGGAACGGAGGGGACCGGTACGATACTAGTCTCTAGATCGTGGATATTACTATATTCGCGACGATTCGTTCTGACTCGGCCGATATTGGCCGATTCGAATCCGTGCATGATATCAACCGATATATTCGAGTCAATTCAGAGTCGACTCAGATATTTTTTTAAAATTGTGCATTTTTTGATATTTTCTAATTTTAATAATTTTTTCAAAATTTTTGAAAACTTTCATATGCTATAATATGCATATCACTCGATATTCAATCAATATGCCGCGATGGATGTGGATCAACCAAAACCGCGACGCGACCGAGACCCGCAATGACGAACCATGATTGCTAGAGGTGCTAATGCAGCTGAGACGACCAATGCCCCTAGAAATGATACTTAGTTATTTTAGCACCTGATACTTAGAAGGCTTCGAACAAGAGTGTTTTTCTGTCGAAGCACTTTCTTTGACTTAGTAATTACAGTGGCAGCACTAGTTCTTTTACTAGCTTCATAATATAGATGTAGATGCTTTTGTCTATGAAGGCTTTGAGCTAAGGCCTCCTCATGTACCAGCTCTACCATGTTGTATTTTTAGAATGTTTTAAAATGCGAGAACGTTGGGCGGAGCATTTTATGTCCATCCAAATGGGGCAAAAGCCCCGAGACTTAGGCTGTAAGTCTCATAAAATTTGAATTTTTTTAATATATAAAAAGTATAAAAAATATAAACAATATTACAAAAACGCATATAAATATAATAAAGAATTGGGTAAGATAAAGAAAATTTTCAAAATTTTATAATTACCTAACTTGTGAATAACCACTACAATGGCTTAGATTACTAGTAGAGATATATACCCTGAAAAAATACAAACAGAAAACACTCATCTAAGCCTACATTAGTCTACATTAGTCAAAATGGGTTCAAAACTAGCTTCACTCCAAAAAAGTCTTCTAATTGCCGCATACAAGTTGAAGTCAAAGGAACTAAAAGAAGTCTCGTGTCTCAATATTCGATGTTTCTTTATTTTCCTGTGAGTTTTGAATTTTGACTGAAGGTCCGTTTTTGCGTTCTCCCATTGTCCTCCTTCTCAGCTGGGTTTGCGTTCTTTCTACTCATAAATCTTTTGCGGTTGGTTCCTACTTTGAGTAAGTCTCCCTCTTTCTCAGGCATAAACTTTCTACTCAATTGAGGCGTACACAACACTATCGCCTCCTTCCATAGCCCCAGGGCATTTTGCATACGCCTGCCTCAAGGCACGCCCCAGGGCGAACCACGAGAATGCTTTTCAAAACGAAATATTTTTTACTATCTCCAATAAAAATTCCTTCCTCTACATTTTGTCCCCCACTTGACTTCTTTTTTTCTTTTTCTTTTTTTGAGTAGATAATCATCTGGTCATCATATTGAAATTCAACTCTGTTGCCCCCCTAGGCCCCTATTAAGTTGGATTTATCCAAAATACCGCTTGTCTCCTTTACCTTCTCCAACTTCATAATTGTTCCGCTAGAATAAAAATACAAATGTTAAATAACAAAATCAACAATAGTTATAATAATAATTTTAATAATTATAAAATTAACTATAATAAAATAGTTAAAATAATAATATAATCATGAACAAATGTGGAGGGTTGAAATACGGATATTTTGATTTCTTTAAGGTGATTCAATCCTCTGCTGAAGAATCAACTCCGGTGCAGTAGAATCTCTGGCTTGTCATCCCCAAGATACAACAATCCAACCACACTTGCTGTCACTCTCATTAGTCTGCACAACTAAGAGTATACTAAGAGAGTATACTTCACCAACACCGATTTTTCTTACCAATCTATGAGATAGAAAATAATAAATGAATAGATAGTTTTTCTCCTATAAACTGTAACTCACAAAATATAAGTTGTTGTTGTAGCATCTTTTTCTATCTCAACTATACATATTTATAGGTGAAGAAAAATTAGTCAAACAAAACATACACTAATAATATGCTAAGTAAATGCTGAAAATTATTGGCTATTCAAGACATTCTAATTTGTATTGTAAGTTACAAAATTTATTATAATTGAAAAGCTATAATTTGATATAATAAATCTTCAATCAAAAATCATTCAAACACCAATAAATTTGAAAACATTTACCAATTTATTCTCCTTGTAACTTACACATTTAATTGAGAATATAACTATTTTATTAAAATACTCCAACAATATCTTTAAAAGCTCGTTATTCCTAGGAACTTGAGCGGGATTAGAGAGCTGCTCGAGTGTGAGGTTAATAGTACTCACCATTTCGAGCTCATTTTCACTAGATGGCTCTTAGTCTTAAAGTTTGGTTTTTTAAACTCAGTAACTTGAGTTTGCTTTTGACCTTAGAAGAGTAGGCTTTATCTGGAAGCTCGAGCAAGATTTAATTTTTAATTTTTTTTTTTTTTACGTTGAGTTCCTTCTTATCTTTAGAAGACTATACTCAATCCAAAGTCTCGAGTAGGATTTTTTGAACTCATTATTTTAATTCATTTTCACCATGGAAAGAGTATACTCAACTCAGATGCCCAAGCAGGATTTCTTAAACCTATTACTTTGAGTTCATGTTTACGACAAAAGAGTATACTTGACTTGGAGGCTCGAGTAGGATTTCTTGAATTCACTACTTGGAGTTCATTTTTCCTTTAATCTGTTCCTGAACCTATTGCGTGGTCACGGGTTCAATTCCCGCAGACAGCACCAAATGTTCATTCTAAAAATTGAGCAAGTTCCGGATGGCAGATGAATTCTCGTTGGAGCATCAATGTATAATGGCTAAAGTTCTTGGTCTTGTTGGAGCAGTAATATTTAATTTCCTCGAATATACCCTGAAGGAAGTGTCCAATTACCTTTTACAAATTCAAATAGACAATAGGCTACTTAAATCAGTACTTAGACTTGGAGAGACTAATTCGAATATAAAAATAGAAATTCGTCTTTAGGAGAGTGTAAAATGAACTAACCTTTGCACTTCAATCAATAATACTGTAGAGCTAACGAAATTTTTGACAAGTTGGCCTCAATAAGTTCAATGGGCATGTACCCTTTAGCTGTATTTGGTATGTATAATTGGTCATGTATTTCTTGTATCATCACTGCTATGATGTTTGGACATGTTTTGATGGGGAAGAATTGTACATGTTCGAAGTATGTAGGAGCATTGTGGAACTCTCAATGAACTCTCCCCCTTCATCTCTTTTTGGCTCTCTGCCAGCACAAAGGCTCCCAGCTTTGCATCATCTTTCCACAGAACTTGTCTTACCTCTTCTTTCAGAAAAATTTTTAGCCTTTGAAACAAAGTTGGTTAAATATAGCATATAAATGGACTTACATGGATTATCCACAAAAATCATATATATCCATTTACCTAAAAAATAAATAAAAACCAAATAAAAGAAATGACGAAAACCTTCTCTTCTCTTCTCTATGGTGTCGTGCCATAAGAATAGAGTAGCCCCAAATTCATCATCATCATCGTAAGCCCTTCTTTGTCTCTTCATTCTCTGGTAATTCTGCTATTCTGGTATGTATTTCTCATTATTATTTTCTGCAGCTGATTGGTCTTTCATTTCCTTTCAGTGCTTAATAATTTTTGGTAACACCTATAATTTATTTTCCCTCTTCCCATTCAATGATGGAGCCAAGGGGGGCAGAGGGGGGCATGGCCCCCCCTAAGTTTTGAGAATTTTAATTCATAATATGTAAATATATGTGTAAAATAAAATTGGCCCCCCCCCAAAATTTTTACAATTTTAGTTTATATTATGAGAGTTGATATATATATATATATATATATATATATATATATATATGAATTAGTCATTTTTGAATGGAATGGCTTGCAAGCTTTTAATTTGACATAAATGTCCATTTGCCTATTACATTCATTGTTTGGCTCATAGGTTTCAACTTGCTTTATTTGCAGCTTCTAGAGAAGTAGCTTCTGTTCACCAATTCTTCTCCAATTTAGTTTTCATTATCAACATTGTTACTGCATCTAGCAAACGTAATGACGAATTAAAGAAGGTTCAAGCGATTGAAGTTGCTACTAAGATTGCTAATGATGAACTTGAAACTGGGAGGGGGATTAATCAAATTGGCACTTTAAAATGAGTTGGAGATACTCGTTTGGGTTCTCATTTGGATTCTATTTCTAGTTTACTGAAAATGTTCAATGCTACTTGTGTGGTTTTAAGTAACATTGCAGTAGATGGAGATCCATACTCTCAACGTTTGTTTTCACTTTGCATCTTATGAAAGACATTATGGAAGTTACTCATCTTCTTTGTATAGCATTGCAACGTAAATCTCAAGATATTTTGAATGCAATGCATCTTGTCTCAAGCACAACAAAGCTACTGAAGAATTTTCGAGATTCGGGATGGGATGATTTCTTAGTGAAAGTTAAATTATTTTGTAAGCAACATCAAATTGACATCCCATGTATGAATGCTCAATATATTGCAAGATGTGGTAAATCTCGAAGTAATCATGATGAGATTAGTGTGAAGCATTATTATCGAGTGGATATATTTCTTGCAACAATTGATTATCAATTGCAAAAGTTACATAGCAGGTTTAATGATTATATCGTGGAATTGTTTGTTTTGATTACTGCTTTAGATCCTAGAAATGGATTTATACTATTCAAGATTGATGATATTTGTAAACTTGCAGAGAAGTTCTATCCGAATGATTTTATAGAGTAAGAACTAGTACATCTAAGAATAGAACTTCAACATTTTGAGCTCGACATTCCAAATCATCCTGAATTGTAAGAATTATATTAATGAGTTATGTCAAGATTTGGTGAAAACAAGAAAATTAGTGATATATCCTTTTATTAATAGATTGATTAGACTTGTTCTTACTTTTTCTGTATCAATTACAACTACAGAGCGGGCATTTTCAATTATGAAAATAATCAAGACAAAGCTCCAAAACAATATGGAAGATAATTTCTTCAATGATTGTCTAATTGTGTATATAGAAAAGGAAGTTGCTGAAAAATTTAGCAGTGATTCAATCATAGATGAATTTAGTTCTATGAAAGAGCGTAGAACTCAATTTACTTCTAAAAAAAGATGTTGAAATTTCAAAGTATGTTAACATAACTTTTATCTTTTTTCAATTGAAAATAGTTACATTTATATTACATGGTATATATATATATATATATATATATATATATATATATATATATATATATATATTGCATAGGTGACATATTGGAGAGCAACTTCTTATAATGTGCAAATTGGATGGTTTGTGATGTTATAAAATATTTAATCAAAGGTTATCTTTTTTGTTAATTTTTTTTATGACTGTATCGCATATTTATGAATAGACGTACCTTTATAATTAAATTTAATATTTGATATTTTTAGATGTCATATATTTAAAATAGAAGAAAATTATTTTGAACATAATATATTAAGATAATTTTATTAGGTGAAAATTTTGGCCCCCCCTAAAAAAAAATCCTGGCTCCGTCACTGTTCCCATTATACCTTGCCTCAATAGAGAAGAGAAAAATAATGAAATAAAAATACTCCCACTGTTAGCTATTCACGCATGAAGACTAACAGACGGTGCAAACAAACGGCACAGGTTCAAGCTTCTGTGCTAGCAAACTCGTCCGTTACATATGCATCAGGTGGACCTTGAACATCAGCAGTTAACTCCGCCGATCACATGCGTGCCCCGCGTTCAGAAGGCGGTCCTATGGAATCGGGATTGGTGAAATGCAAGAATGTGTAGAAAGAACGCTAAGATTACTGGCTCTAAAAATATTGCCGTAAACTATTCAACGAACCGTTGCTCCATGCCTACTATTGTTGATGCTAATATATCTATTGGTTATTATTTCATTTTTGACTGAATACAAATTGGGTGAGCATATTTTTTAATGTATTTAGTATCGCCATATTTTTTGTATGGGATAATTTCAGAAAGCTCCTTGAGGTTTGTCATAATATCACTCAGCTTTCCTTAAGTTTTTAAATTTTCACTTACCTCCCTTGTCCAATTGACAAGACTAAATATTCCTATCAAAGGTCATAAATTAACAACATTACCCTTGCTCTTAATAACTATTTAATCAAAAAGCCAAAACAAAATAAAATTTTAATAGCAAAAAATGTAAATTAAAAATACAAATTGCTAGCTAATGATGGTCCATATTTCTTTACATTGAAGTCATGTTGGATAGCAAAGGATGTGGATAAATTAAATCTAATCAAGATCAACCACTTAGGAGGCTTTTGAAGAGTAATCAACGCTTTAAAAAATTTCATGCACAGTTAAAATTGAGGAAGTAAAGATATTTTTTTTTTGGAGAAATATGTTTTAATTCATGGTGTAGTTTAAGTTGTATTAAAAACTAAAATAATCTCTTCATATGTGTGAATTTTTCAATGTGTAAATTTTGCTTTATTCTAATACAACTGAAATAAAATAGTTTACGTCAAGAAATTTACACCTTATAAAAATTTAACCTTATCTTATTTTTTTTTGGTTATAAATTCTATAAGTAGGATAACATAAGGATAATATTGGAATAAAAGTTTTATTTTTTTTATATTTCCTCCAAAGGGATTAAAATGTTACAAAAAATTATAAAAAACTTTAGGAGAACTGAGTGATATTATAAAAAACCTTTGGAGATTTTAAAGTGAGATTTTAGAAACCTGAGGAGAGCTGAGTGATTTTCTTGTAAGGGAGGTAAGTGAGATTTTTCTTGTAACATTTCTTTTTAAGTGAGATTAAAAAGTGAGATAAGGGAGGTAGCTTTTTAATCACTGTGATAAGGGAGTTGTTAAAATGTGAGATTTTAAAAACCTTAGGATAACGGAGTGATATTATAAAAAATCTCAAGGAAGGTTTCTAAAATTATTTCTTTTTAATATTTGTATAAACATGAACATTTCATGTGAATGCATTATTTATTGATAGTATCAAAAACTTGCAAAAATCCTAAGCCACAATCGGAATAAGATTACAAACCAAATAAGTAAACAAATGACAATAATACTCAATTCGCCAAAAACGAAATTCCCCAAGAACTACTAAGACCGATCATGTACTAAGCATCTATCCATTTTACACTAAAATATTTGCCTTTATTTGGCCATGATTAATACAGAGACCACTTCATTAGGATCAGTACTATTTGATAATCTAATTTAACACTTAAAATTAATAAATTTAAATTTTAATATGTTTAGACGCGTTTGATAATAAAAAATAAAACGTATAAATTAATTAAATGACATTAAATTTTTTAGTCAAAACTTACTCTAAAAAATATATGATAAATTATTTATCTATTATTTAATATAATATGCACTCAAATATGTGATATTTAATATTAAATATTTTAATGAATTCAGACGTTAGATTTCAAATTTCAATTTTTTCCAACAAAATCTTACACATTAGTCATTAGTGGGTAGAAGTTTCCGTCTCTGTGCTTACGTCAGTCCATACGTACAATATGCAGGTACGCCTATCTGATTACGCTACCTCTTCCGGGATGCTATAAATACAAGGGCGTTTTGTAATCTGTCAGTCGTCTGATTAATATTCCGAGCAAGCAAGCTGCAAGCATATACTCTCTCAGGGAAAAAGGGACAATAAAACAAAAGTCAAATAAAATTCCGTTCCCCGGCGAAATCAAAACTGCTTAATTCGAGGTAAATTTTCCTGAAATTCAATGATCCTGATTCTATTCAATTATGATATTCTGATTATCTTATGACTTACTGATAATTTTAGCTGTGAAATTGAGGTTTTAAGGACCCTGATTATAGAAGTTTTCTCGAATTCAATTCCTACTTGTATTTTTTTGAAGTTGTGGTTTTAAGTAGTCAATAGTCATAATTGATTGATGAGTTCAGGAGCATTTGAAACAAGGAATTGGACAAAAAATTTATCTTTCCATCATCTGTTGAATTGTAATTGTAAATTTAGTGGAGAAAGAAAAGTTTTACGATTTTGAGGCCTGCTGTTGTTGATTTCTTGTTCAAGAAGATATGGTATTACTAGAACTGACTGTTAGAATTTTTTCCGATTTGGGGATATTTTGTTCGTCTATTTGCTCTCGTACGGGGAAAATAAAGAGGTAACTTAGCGAGATAGGTGCCATAGAGAGGTATTAATTGATAACGAGGGCTTAATTTTGAGCTATTTGTTGTAAAAGTCATTTTTGTACAAAGTACAAACTTGTAGGGGGAGCTCACTCGAGGCGAATAAGATGCATCTTTTACATGTCTAAGTATCATCACCTGTCACGGGAAAGCAATCAGATTCACGTATTGTTTAATGAAAGTACTGGTAAGACTAGATGAGTTGTCTACAGAATTGGTAGGAGCAGTGGTTATTTGTTTCATATTGAGAAAGAAGTTTTCTACCTAAATGTTGATACTTTTGAAGGTACGGGAACAGAAAAGGGATTTTACCTTTGTTAGGTCGTAACAGGGGAATGTATGGAGTATGGAGAACTCAAAATGGTGAGCTGATATCAGCTTTAGGGTGTGAAAGATAAATGCATATGAAAGATGGGAAAACTTGCCTTTAATTGGTTGCCAAGAGTGCTTGTATCCTTTTTAAAAGCTTGCTGATGATATTGTATGGTTCAACAACTGCAATGCCACAGTGTAGAGCAAACATATTGAAGATTGAACTTTTATTTGCTGACATCTTTATACAGGAAAACCCCCTTTAGTCAGCCATTGCACTTTATATGTTCTAAGCTCGAGTAGTTTTCTTATGGAGCTCTATTTCACTTTGAGTATCACTAACTTGACTTGTATATGAAACTCCTGGGTCATATTGTTAGTCAATGCTATTGGTTTTGTTGGACAAGTATATGGGTATGAGTTTTCGGCCCTTAATATTATATTTTTTTGGAGTTGCAGTTTCTAGCTATCACCCTAGCCATTTCTTGTTTCTTTCTTAGCTCTGAATGTCTTAAAATATAAAAATGTAATTTGTTTGGTAAAGTATTTTTGAAAGCAATAATTTTTTCACAAAGCAGATGATGCAGCCACCTGAGAAGCAGTTATCAGTTACATGGAGGGGGAAGAAATTTATCCTTGAGATGAAACATGGTGCTAATCTAAAAGAGTTGGGGGACAAATTACAACAACTCACCAATGTCAAAGTTGGTACATTGCGGCTGATTGTTCCTACCAATAAAGGTTCTAAAATGCTATACCCTTTCTCAGATGAGCACTCTTATCTCTCATTGGAAGCTGCATCTGCTATTGAGGTGTGGAAACTAAATTTTCTCCTGTTTTCTTGGTAAATAGGAGTTTATCTAATTCTACTTTTGCAAATTACTTCATCATTTCATTAGATCTAAAATAAACAAATATTAGATGAATGAAAATAAATTTAGGTTTCCTGAATGTGCAGTTTCAGGTTTCAGATAATTCTTGATATTATTAGTCCACTGAATGTGCCTTGTCTTTTGGTTAAATAATATCTCAGCTGTCACGAGCTAAACTAATGTAGGACAAGATGTTTACGACCTTGCATACTAGCACGAATGGAAGAGTGAGGGGATTGTGAACAATATCCATGGACAGTAATCTTTGGGGGGGAAAAAACTAAGAAACTAAAACTCAATCTTTGTTCATCAAATTCTCTGTAAATAATAACGTTGTATAACGAAAGCTTTCTAAAGCTTCTCCTATTTCCATATCCT